CGAAAGTTGTAGTAAATCATTATATATAAATGATTATGGTGTGTTTAATTTTTTTTTCATTAATTACTACATATTTTCTTCACTCACAGTGTTTGCCAGCTCGCTGTATAATCAACTTAAATCAGTTAAATCCATCATGTAATGCATTTCCTTCCAATTTTTTGTGATAAACTAACAGATAATTGACTAAATAAACATCCTGCAAAGTTTCAATAAAAATTTCCAAGTTTTTCTTACAATTTCCGTGGTTTCCATGTAATTTTTATCGATATCGATATTATCCCGACATTTCCATCGATATTTCTGTGTTTTCGAACTACCGATATTTCCGATATTACCGATATTTTCTTCCTTGATCGGGACTGAGAACTTAGAATAGTTCTTCGGCATCAGGCCTCATTTAGTTGGGGATTGGTCCTTGCGCTTGGCCTTCTGCCTGCTTTTGTTGTTGTACTGCTTCTCGTTCTCCTTCTTCTGAGCTACTGTTGATTTTCTTCGAGGCTGCTCGTCAAGTCTCGTCCCAAAGTGCATACTTATCTGCTAGAGCAAAAGAGTCTGCCAATGTTAGATCTTCTTTCATGATCAATTCGCCAAACAGCGGGTGGTCTGTTATGAGTCATTTTTGGAAGGCTGCACTAGTTATCGAGTCGTTGCATCAGACTATCTTTGCCTTCTTTGCTTTGAACTTCTTCACATAGTCTCGGAGCGACTCCTTTGGGTTTTTCTTGACATTGAATAAGTGGTCGGACTTCTTCTTGATCGAGTGGTAGAATGAATACTCATTGGTGAAAACCAAAGAAAGCTCATCGAAACTTTGGATTGAGTATGGCGGCAATGTGTGGAACCAATCTTGCACCTCGCCTTGTAAAGTGATGGTGAATATCTTGCACATGAGAGTGTCGTTGTTTCGATAGAGGATCATTACGCTTCGATAATGCTTTACGTACCTCTCTGGGTCTCTATCTCATTTGAATGATGTGAAATGTGGCATGCTGAACTTGTATGAAGGCTCTGCCTGCTCGATCTCGTTCGTGAAGGGTAACTTGCTTATGTTGGTCATGTCCCGTCGTAGTGCCTTGTTAGTGACCTCATTGCGTTGGAAATCGCTTAATCGCTCGGTCATGAGCCTCTCTACTTCTTCTTGAATTTACCTTTGTTAGAGTAGCAGAGCTTTCGACTACCCCCGGTCGTGACCTGCTAGTCTAGGTTGTTCTTCCATGTGTTCGGCTCGTCTATGCCTCGGTTGTGGTGTATGTGGTATGTTCATAGTAGGCAAGCGAATTACTCGCTGGCTACCGATTGAACTTGAGCCAGATTGAGTGACTGTTTCTTTCCGTCTGTCGTATTGCCAACTTTGATGTGAGGTGGAGAATGCTCCTTGCAGGCTTAGTTGCAAATGAACATTTTACCTAGAAGGTTGCTCATGTTGATTATCGGAGTGCGACCCCAATCGTGAATGTATGCTCGTCCGTGAGTCTAATCGAGAGTACATGCTCATCCGCGTGTTAAGACGAGAGTATATGCTATCTCGGCGGCTCAGTCAGGAGTGTACACTGCCCGAACGTTCGGTTCGTGGCTTGTCAACGAGCTGCTTGCCTGGACGCTGTTGAAGAGGTTCATCGTCTGCCCTCATCCTACTTCGAGACACCTCGTCTAGGGCACGCTGCATCTCGATACGCTGCAAGAGCTGATTTACCAAGGTCGTTTACTGCGCGAGGGTGCTTGTCAACTCTATGACTTGTTGGGACAAGTGTTGTTTACCATTTGGGTTGGAAGAGCTTGGGCGGTATTCGTCTCCTTAAGTAGTGGAAGTGTAATGGACTTTGGACGAGTGATTTGAGTTGGGATGTGTCAAATCTAAGGAGGAATGGGGTGAAAATACCCCCGATTTAATCGTCGGTCCAGAAATCTGAAGTCGGGACTGTTGAACTGATCTTGGACTGGTTTGAGCTGCTAGAAGAGCCACAAAAGTAGGTTGGGCCACGTGCGTGGGCTGCCCCACATGTGGTGCTCGTTGGCGCTAGGCATAGGCTCGGTTCGGGAAGGCACTGGGCTTGGACAGCTTCGGTCGTGCATTGAGTGGAGACGTGTAGGGCTTGGGCCTGCGCTGCTGAGGCAGCGACTTGGGCTGCCTCTAGCGCCTGGGCCTGCTGCTACACAGTGGCGTAGGCCTGGGCTTGTGGATGCCTCGCTGCTCATTGCTCACCGTGGGCTTGCTGCCATGGAGCTAGCCCATCCCCCACTACCACGGTGGTCCCCATGGCTTTAATGGTGGTGGTGCTCCGTGGTGGCAAAGTTGATCCTCTTGCCATCGCATTGAGCCTTGTGGATCATCATGGTGGGACTACGTCTCGTCCTCCATCATTTGATCGGGATCTTTGAACGTAGGAAGTTCTGTTCATTGTGGTTTTCGAATTTCTTGCCATTGTATTTTTCTCCTACGCCTATTCAAAGAATTAAAAAAAAAATCTAGGAATAAGAACATATGAAAAATTTACGAACAAATGAGAAATATGAAACTTCGAATGCGAGAGTCTTCTTTGAGCGTGTGAATCAAGCTCTCAATGAAAGCACCAATTATGGATGCAAATTTCCGCTCCGATGCCAAAGTTAGAGTTTTGAAAAAAATGTGTTTAGGAGTTTGTGGATAGCAAATGACTTAGCTATTTAGTGGGAGAATATGATTATTTATAGGGGAGTGGCCGGCCATATATGGTGAAATTGTGAGAATAATTTCAAAATATTATGTGAAATAATATCTTGCAATTATCATGGCAATTAATCCTAAATTAAATAGGAAAATTGAGAGTTACCTTTTGAATAAAGGATTTGATGATAGGAAAATTGAGAGTTACCTTTTGAATAAAGGATTTGATGAGGAGTGATGAGAGTGATTTGAATAAATAACATTTTGATCACCTTTGACTCTTCCTTGATTGAGCCGTTATTGTTCGTTGCATGCGCGTGGGAATCCTGATGTGCCTCGTGAGTAATTTTGTCATTTTTATCCAAAAGTTCACGTATCACCTCTATAATTTTCTTGATTATTTTTTACACCACAATAACTACTAAATGTAGACAACGATGTTCAGTAATTGTATCTTTGTTAGGTAGATAATGATGCTATATATTTTCTATACGGGCACTATTTCTAGTATTTTCTATACGTAGATAGTGGTGAAATGACTCGAATTTTTTTTATCGGTAAATAATAGTTTATAGATATAAATAATATTAAATATCTTTGTCATAGGTAGAGGAGTGCTACATGTAGATAACAATATTCAATATTTTGTACCGTTGTTATAGGTTTGATAAGGATGCGAAGTATTTTTTCACGTGTAGACTGTAATCCTTTCAATATGTAAATAAGAATTTGAATATCTTAGTCATAGGTAATTATCATTGTTAATAATTCAAAATTCAATTATTTCTCAAAAAAAAAAAAAAAAAAAACAATCAAAATTCAATTAGAGAAAGAAAAATGCATAAATTAAGAATTTTAAGAATTCTGATAGGTTAATGAAGGGCAAAATAGACAGAAAATAAAAAGGGTTTTTACTAATTAAAGTTGTGCACGTTCACTAGGTCTATATTAAAAATCCTTATAAGTAATTGAGCTAATTCTCATAATGTTAATTGATTTTATAGTAAAGCTTCAACTTTTTCCATCCTTGATTTATGTATAAAGATGAAAGCATGCGATTGTTCTCCATCCCAGTATTAAAATCGTCATGATATCATTGGAGTTAGGGGTAGTTTGGGAGTGAGGTGCTTAAAAAAAAAAGCACTCATGAAAAAAAGCTGTGAGGGTTTTAGGTGTTTGGTAAACTAAAAAAAAATAGCTTATTTTGGAAGCTGCTGTGAGAATAAGCTGAAATCAAAGGAAAAAGCTGAAGCTGCTATTTGCAGCTTTGGAAAACTGGCTTTTTTTCAAAGCATATGGAGCTATAGTGCTCCTTTAATGAAAAAAAACCCACTATCAGACTGCTTTTTTTTCTTTCCAAAAGCACTTTTACAAAAAAGTTTACCAAACACTCTGCTGATTTATTTTACAGCCGCTTATTCTCACAGCACATCCGCTTATTCTCACAGCAGTTTTTTTTCAAAGCACAGCAATACCAAACCAGCCCTTAGTCTAGTGGTGAGAGTGAGTAGGGTTAAAATCATACATCTTGAAATTAAACCAAAATAGTAAAAATAATTCCGTTGTAGGCAGAAGAATTACCTCCATCGTTATGACTTCCTTGCTTTGTTGATCGATTATATACACTATTAATATAAGAAGTTTCTTGATCATATTTTAATTTTAATTAGCGACATTAGTGTGTGTGTGTGTGTATATTTTTTTCAATTGGTCCATGCATGGCTGTTTTTCTAGCTTTAGTCGACCAGTTCATGTGGGAGACTGGGAGTGGTGGGTGCATGCATGCATGGCTGTTTTCATATTAGTACGAATGAAACTGTCAAAGTCAACCTAAGAATGCCAAATACGCCGAGGCAAGGCTCATGGAATAATATTTGGGAAACTTAGCTAATTTGGATACAAAAGTTTTTACTGTACACCATCCCCGTGACACTTCGAATCGACTGTAACCTCAGCATGCATGATAACAGTGAATACGTTCCACGAAAGCCTCTCGCATGAAGGTTGGACTCTGAATTCAGATTTCGAACATCAAGCCATACATCTTGGTTTTAATTCTATCATATATTTAATTTGCACCTTTTATACACATTCTGGTTTCTGCTAGCTGCTAGAAGAATATTCATCAAAGGTAATGCTAGCGAAACCAAATTTTAAACTACATTTTGTAAATCAAATGATGTGGTAGTTAATGGTTAGAGTATTACTCAAGTGTTGATTAATTAACGTGTTTATTTTCTATTAGTGACACGTCATTTGGTTTGCAAATTTAATTAAAAATTTTGGTCTCGCTAGCATTATCCATTCGTCAATCATATCTTCGACTTCCTCTGCTCTTGCCTTGTTGTATATATACACCCAGCTGATATCATAATACATTATACTAATATACTATGGCTTTCAAATCTACGCTCTTGTTTGCCACTATTCTCTTAGTTACTACAAGGGTGATCATCTTCATATAAATCTATATAATATGATTTTTTTATTTTATTTTTGCTGAGAGTTTACATATATTTATATATTCTCCTTTAATTATAGGTTTCATCTCAAGCTCAAGGTTATCTAGAGAAAGACGCCAAAATCATTGACTGGGTACGTATGATGTATTTAAGGCAATTGTTAAATGAAAATTTTAAGTTTAATTGATTTCCAAAAGAACTAATATGTAGTAATCAACAATCATGTTATAAGCTGGTAACCAATTAAACTCATGATCCAGCTATTTCCATGGATCGACTTTGGTTGGGATGATGATCCACCTCCACATTGGCACCAGAAACCGCCAACACCGTCTCCACCACCTCCGTCACCAAAAGCACAACCTCCACCGCCGCCACCATCACCAAAAGCACAACCTCCACCGCCGCCACCATCACCAAAAGCACAGCCTCCATCCCCTCCACCGCTTCCACCGCCTCCAGTAGCTGCGCCGAGTCGTGCACCCACACCCGCTCCCAAAAAGGCACCTTCTCTTGTGCCCCCAGTCAAGACCCCTCCGCCTCGGAGCAAGGGCGACAGTGATGTTAACGGGCTTCCTATTACACCGTTCACTCCAGTACCACCAGTCATTCCATTGATTCCGTCTGTCGACCCAAAGAGTTCCAGTCCTCCCAGCACCAACACCGAATCCAACCCCAACACCACCGCAACCCCTCCACCACCAAGCACACATCAATGCACGTGCACTCCTCCAATTCCAGTAATTAACAACCCTAACCCGAATCGTAATCCTCAATTCAAGGCCCCGCCGGCACCACCCTCTCCAATCAAATCGCCAAGTACTCCACTATCTCCTCCAGTGAAGACCTCGCCTCCGCCAGCAACTCCTCCACCATCACCAACTCAAAAGAAGACATCTCCTCCACCTCGTCGGAGAAAGAAGATTCCGCGTCCTCCACCACCACCCGTGTCAAAGGAGGAAGAGGACGATGAGGCTCCGGCTCCATCACCTAAACCTATGATCAAAGCACCAGCTCCGAGGCCTAATCTGATGGGGAAAGCACCTCCTCCAAAACCTAATCTGGTGCCGAAAGCACCAGCTCCAAAACCTAATCTGGGGCGGAAAGCACCGGCCCCACATGCGAAGAAGAAGAGACTGCCTTTGCCACCACCTCGGAGGAAGAAGGCACTGCCTCCACTACCACCACCATCCGAGCAGGAGGAGGAAACTTCGGTTTCCTTGCCTTTCAAAGATGACGCAGTTTTGGCTCCTTCACTTAAACAACTGAGGAAAGCACCCGCTCCCAACCCCAACACCACCGCAACCCTTCCACCACCAAGCACACGTCAATGCACGTGCACTCCTCCTGTTCCAGTAATTAACAACCCTAACCCTAATCGTAATCCTCAGTTCAAGTCCCCACCGGCACCACCCTCTCCCGTCAAATCGCCAAGTACTCCACGGTCTTCACCAGTGAAGACCTCGCCTCCGCCAGCAACTCAGAAGAAGGCAACTCCTCCACCATCACCAACTCAAAAGAAGACATCTCCTCCACCTCGTCAAAGAAAGAAGATACCGCGTCCTCCGCCACCACCCCCGTCAAAGGAGGAAGAGGACGATGAACCTCCGGCTCCCTCACCTAAGCCTCTGACCAAAGCACCAGCTCCGAGGCCTAATCTGGTGGGGAAAACACCTCCTCTAAAACCTAATCTGGTGCCGAAAGCACCTCCTCCAAAACCTAATCTGAGGTGGAAAACACCGGCCCCACATGCGAAGAAGAAGAGACTGCCTTCACCACCGCCTCGGAGGAAGAAGGCACTGCCTTCACTACCACCACCATCCGAGCAGGAGGAGGAGAAGGATACTCCGGTTTCCTCTTTCAAAGAAGACGCAGTTTTGGCTCCTTCACTTAAACATCTGAGGAAAGCACCCGCTCCGACGCTTGATTTCGTGTCGAAAGGACCTCCTAAGATCATAGCACTCTCTCCTGGTGTGGTGGCACTGGCAACATGATCTCCTAAGATCATAGCACCCCCTCCATAACTGTGGGTGAATTAATGCACTGTCTCCGTCACTACGCTGAAACTGGATCTCTCATCCATACAGATTCGAGTGCCTTGAAAATTTGAAATATACTCATTTTGTTTCCTCTTCTTAATTGATACAATATGAGCTATATGCAATTATGTATTGAATAAACAAGATCATTTGTTTTTTTTATGGAAACAAGATCTTTTGTTTTTTTATGGAGGCAAGAAAACTAATAAATATAATGGCCTTTTATCAGTCCTTAATTTATATGGATTTTGATCTAACAGGGATGACTGAGCGATCATTTCAAGTGTTTTTCTTTCTTTTTGAAAGACACTTCAATTCTTAATACAAAAGCTAATATTCCACACTAATGTTGTCCCAAAACTGTAAGAGATTTTTTAGTTTGTCTTGGAAAACGGTGTGGTACACCGCATATCATTACACGAGTAGAGGTACACTTGAAAAGTAAATATTTCCCCCCAGTTATATAATGACATGTAATTTCCTTACACACTACAAAATTTCTCCAATATTGTACGTAGCGTACTCATACCGTGTATAGTTAATTGCCAAATTTAGGAGATTGTTAGTAACATTAGAGAAGTGTCATTGACACTTTAAGCATCTCATTGGGCACTTATTTTCTTTTTGCGTTTACGTCTTTTCCTCTGGACGCACTGCTACTCTCTCCTTTGTGTTTCAATAGAAATTCCCCCATGGTTGGAAGAATCTTCAAATCCATTAAAGTTTTTCTTTCATATATAAATATATGGAGAAATTAGGTTAACAATCTTCTTTTTGATACTCCATTGATTAAAATTTTATTCATTTTCAATTTTTGATCAAGGTCATTGGGTATTAATAACATCATTAATTATTTGAATAATAAAATATTTTTATTTTTAAATATATTCCTTTAGTGTTAAAAAATGTTAAAATTAGTATATTTATATTTATGGCTAAATTTTTTTATCATACATTATTATTTTTAGTTTGTACCAATTTTCTTTTCATTTTTAATTTGTAACCATATATTAGTTTCTTTTTGTGCCCATATTTTTTGAAGTTTTATTTGTGTTTGTACCCATGTGTACACCGTCATGTAACATTGTATATTTAATCAATGATAGAAAAATTACATATGGTATATTTATGTTTTATGCCTAAACTTTGTATCATATATTTATATTTTTAGTTTGTACGCACTTTTAATTTGCAATTTTTTTTAAATTTGTAGTATTTTCTTTTTAGTTTTATTTTGTACCCATGTATTAATTTCTTTTAACACCTATATTTTTAAAAAATTCATTCATACTCATAATTTTTTAATCTTTTATCTGCACCCTAATTTATTTATAATGTACCCATTCTTCTTTATTATTGAACCACTTTGTTATATGTGAAATGTACCAATTTTTCTGTAAAACGTACCATTTTTTTAACACTATGGATACATTCTTTTGCCATTTATTATTTCTTATTTTTACATAGTTTTTATCCATTTATTCAATCAAAATGTTTGAATTTTTTTTATTGTAACCATCTCTAATAGTATTATAATGAGGGATTTTAAATTTATAGGATTATAAATCTCATAAAATATCAAACAATTAATGTCAAAACTATAAAAATATAAATATTAATTGTAATATAATGAGGTGTCCAAAGTCAAGGGATTTTGATCAAACTTTGAATACCATTAAGGTTTTAGTCAAAGAATGTTAAGGATTAGGGACAACATCCAAAATATCCCTAAATATATACTCTTCGTTGTTTTTGTTTTTTTAATTTATTGGACTTTATTTATTCACAAGTAATGCTAGAGAGAATAAATTTAGAGACAAATTTTGCAAACAAAATGATGTGTCACCAATAGAAAATGAGCACGTTTATCAATGCTTAAGTAATAATCTAAGGGTAATGCTAGGGAGACTAAATTTGCAAACTAAATGATGTGTCAGCAATATGAATAAACACGTTTATTAACGTTTAAGTTATAAATCAATCATCTACTTCCATGTCCCTTAGTTTCCAAAACTTCGTGTACAAATTTAGTCTCCCTAGCATTCATAATTTAATCATCAACTTCCATGTCATTTAGTTTACAAAATTTAGCCTACAAATTTAGTCTTTCTAGCATTACCCTTTATTCATAGATTATTTTTCCCCAGTGTTGTGGAGAGAAAGTGACTTGGAGCAAAACCAAGCGCAATGACTTTTTATGATTCATACAACCTACACCACTTAGGGGGACAAAACTTGGTTGTTGTTGTTGCTATGGAGAGAAATGGCATTTAACTTTGAAAGATCAATTCATATAGATAACTAAAAATTGAAGAGAAAAAGAAGATATCTTCATTTGTGCAATCAGAACCTACCCAGCTATACAAAATGTGCCGTCTCAGTTTCTCAGAGAAAGAAATTATAATATGTAGCGGGAGGTGTTGATGGAAAATTGAAGATGGGTTTTTATATTGTTGTCAAATTGATGTTTAAAATCATAAACGACATCAAGTTTGAAATCACAAACAGGATAAAAAGCAGCAGTGAAGGAGGAGAAATACGACGGAAAAAACTGAGGAACACGCACGAAGAGGAAGATGCACAACAAAACCTAACTGCAATAGGGCAAATGTCTGTTTGGAAATTCATTTTCTTAAAAAGAGAAAACTAAATTTAATTGTGATTAAAATTAACGTGTTTATTTTATATGAGTGATACAACATTTGCTTTGCAAATTCTTTTAAAAAATTGATCTACTTAGTATTACTCTAATTACAATAATAGAGATAATGCGAAATGCAGATAAATGTACAAATTCTAAATATAGAGACTTGGAATCCAAATCAAACATTGTATGAGACAAATTTTTGCTTGCACGGAGGCTCAAGGCCAGAGCAAAACGCGAAACACAGTCCAAGTCCTAGACAAAATTGTAATTTGGCCAATTTTTTAGTATCATTTATAGTATTACAGCACAACTTTTTTTTAATTGTGTTGAATAAAAATTTGTGAGTGTTGTAGACATAATTACTAAACAATTATGGAGACAGAGAGAGAGAGGGAGGTGTGGCACATAGAGAGAGAAAAGAGAGATGTGTAATTGTGAGGTGTGCATTATCTCACCCCACTATGCCTTTATTTATAGTAGTAGGTGATATGAGCATATTTATGCGCCTTAGTTAGCTAGTTCTTATGTATTTCCATGGTGTTTTCTTAGTTAAAGTAGTCTTTTAAGCTAGTTTTATGTGTTTTCAGGTTTTAAGGCCAAAGGATGCAAGAAGATGCATTTTGGAGCTTTTGGAGCAAAATTGGGCTTGGAATGATTATCACATAATTGGAGCCAAGGTTTGGACGAATTTGAAGACTTGAAGATGATGATTCCTACTTGAACAAGGTTTCCTAGTTGAAGTAGGAAAGTGCTTACATGAAGGAGGATTCCTAATCGACGAAGGATTCCTAATCGACGAAGGATTCCTAATCAACGAAGGATTCCTAATTGAAGATGGATTCCTAATCACATGAGGACTCCTAGAAGAACAAGGATTCCTCCTCCAACAAGGATTCCTACTTGAAGTAGGAAAGTTAAGCCAAGGTTTCCTACTTTGGTTTGATTTTTCCTAATTGTCCCTAAAAGTTCCAGCAATTATGAAGACTTTCTAAGCATTCTAGGACACAAAACAAAAGCCTAGAACCCTTTTGAACCCTTGCCGCACCCCCCCTTTGCATTTCCTCTTCCTTATTTCCTGTTTTTATGCTTTAAAACACCTTCCTTTTGTGTTTTAAACCCTAGCCGAATTTCCCTTGCCCTTTCCTTTAATTTTCTGATTTATTTCCTAATTCTAGAATCCTTAGACTTAATTTCTGATTTGCTAATCAACCTAGGGTTTTAATTTCTGTTTTCCTTTAAATAAACCTCCTTGTTGCAGCCACAAAACATTCCACACACACCCATTCACATCCATTCACGCCAAAAACATCACCACTCTCTCTGCCGCACCTATCCTTCACCATTCACCATATTTTCTGACCAAAAACCACCCTAGCCGTCCCATACACCTATCCCAGCCATAAACCCATCATTCTACACCATTCATAACCCCCAAAACTCACCCATTCGTGTGCAGCAGCAAGGAGAAAGAAGGAAGGACTCTTGGATGCTTAAGCTTCATCGTTGGTGCATTCTAGGTGTAATTCGTTTTATGATTTCAATGTTTAATTTCTTTTCCTTTGGTTTTGCTACGAACATGAGTGGCTAAACCCCTATTGGTTAGGGGTGATTTTGAAGCCATGACTATGTGTGCAATTTGATTTGATAAATTCCAGTTATGAGTTCTTGAATCGTGAATGCAATTGGCTTAACTGTGCAAGTAATAACTTATTTGTGTTTGTTAATTAGGGGTCGACACTTAATTGGCTTGCATGAATATGTTGCTAGAATATAAGGTTGTTTCACATAATCGTCACACACTTATATTCATGTGTAGTGAAGGTCGCTAGTCACGATCGCGTTAAGTCCAATTCCTAGCATGAGTGATATGATGTCATAGTTGCAAGTGTTTTGTCAATGCTTATAGTTTTCATTGAACGTAATGATCTTTGATTGTATCTTTATTATGATGTCATGTAGGGAACTTTTGAGGAATGCTTTGGGTTGTCGAATGATGTCATCCAATCCAATAACATAAGGAAAACTTGAGAATTAACTAGTGATGTCACGGTTAATTTGGGGCATTGTCATTCATAATTCAACGAAGGAATAACTGGAAATCGAGTCGTTTGCATACTTGTCATGTGTGGAGAAAGAGCCTCTAACTAATCCATCATCCATTTAAAATCCCAAAATCGTTTTCAATTCTGTTTTTACTTTGCAATCTGTTTTGTTAGTTATTTTCGTCCAAATCAAACCCCCATTTATTTTGGAGTCCTAGATTAGTTAGAAAGTGTTTTGGTTTATGTTTTTAAGTGTTTTGGTACAAGTTAAAACCCAAATTCGTCCAATTAGGTGCTTTGTGTTCAAAACTGCCCATAAAGTGTTTTTAAGGCAGTTTTGAGTCTTTTGGTTGCTGTTTTGAGTTTTCGGTTTGTTTTAGTGTTTAAACTTTAGTTTTGCATTCTTTGAGTCTAATCTAGTGTTTTAAACTTTGTTTTTACGTTTCTAAGTCAGTTTTCAAGTGTTTAGCAATCCCTCCTAATCCCCGGTCAAGAACGATCCCTACTTACATACTTTACTACATTTGTCAAAAGAGGGTTTAATTTGTGTGCTTAATATATTTCGCATCAGTAGGGAATGTTAAATCCTAACCCTAATAAGATTACAACTCTAATAGGATAATATCTAATCCTAGGGAATATTCTAAGATGTCCCTAGATATGTTAAGATTTACACAATCACATTCCTAATCTAATATGACTTGATCAAATAAAATATTAATTGAAGGCTCAAATCCTAATTACCATAAATTGGTACCTGTATGCGAGAAAGCATTCTTCTATACACTTTTTTTTTCCTTCCAAAAGTAAGGAATTTTATCAAATTCGAATGGAAATGTTTAAATCGAAAGCCAAAGTATAAAACAACCATTATAGTTCAAGACTATTCCAATTACGAAGCCCCATTCCCGCACAACAAATGAAGCCACTAGATGCATTGTCTTGTTACGGAGGAGCTACTGACCTCAATTATTGTTTCAAACACTGAACATCCGGGAAGATTCCTTCAATCACAACATCAGGTTGAATTTTTCCCTTAAGCATTTCCACAAGACATTTGGAGTCCGACTCTATCTAAACCACCTCAAAGCCCTTATCAATAGAAGTCACCACTCGTATCGCTTCTGCCTCTGTCATTAAAATAAACTAGATTCATATGGCAGGTCTCCAATTCTGCTGCTCAAGACCTCACATGTATAATAGTAAATCATTTTCATATAATCTTTATTGTAAATAACATACCATAAGCGTAATAATATATTTCTCAGTTACACCTAAACTTGAAACATGTGTTCATCGGATGGTATAAATGAAACCAGCTGTAATCTATGATTCCTAGTTTTGTTTAATCAATTCTACTGTGATCAGTCAATTTTGTTGGGTCTTTCTCAAAAACCAGCTGTGTTCATTAAATTAAACCTAACATGTTCAAATCTAATATTTTTTTTCTTAAAAAGGAGCTTTGAAATAACAAGTGGAGAGAAGGGATAAACCCAGAACCTAAGATTGTTTATGTTATTTAAACACAAATTAACCTAGTAAACAAGCTAGGAAGGTCGATCAGATCAGATCAACTAATGAAATATACTAGAGGAAACGTAGCTTCAAAAATATATGGTGTTTTGTAGTACAAGATATCACAAAAAATTTCAAGGGTAGTAATTTCTACCGCTTCCGCTTAATTTTTAGTTATACAATCAAATAAATTAAAAAAATCCAATAAAAATATGCAGATAAGATCATTCATTTTTTAACCATTAACTCATAATTTAATATTATTAAATCGAAACGATTAAAACATTTAAAATACCTCATACTTCGTGCATTGTAAAAAGTTCCCATAACTTTTGTTTCTTAGTTTTTTTTTATGTGCAGACCTCATGTGGAGGATATTAATTTACTTGGGATGACAGACACTGGGATACGAGGAGATGAGAAAATAGTTTAGTAGACAGGTCCCTGCTCCTATAGGGGAAGGTAGGTCGAACTCAAGAGTCAGATTTCGGGGCGGCAAACCGATAACTTGTGTATCTGTGAACTGTGATGATCACATTCATCAAGCAGCTGGAATGCATATCACTTTATCTAAATATAGCATAGATAATTTCTCTCCTTCAAGTTAGTGCTATAGTATTATAAATCAACCACGTATTTTATTATTTTTATTTTTGAAATAACAGTATGTAATGAGTTTGAAATACATATACATACATAGCATGTCCTCCTTCAATGTCGAAGCGATTTACTTACACCAAGTATACGCAACTGAGGCTGAGTCCCAAACTATTAAGTGCAACTCCACTCTTTAAGGTGATAATTGTCCGATAATTGGCAATTATTGCCTCAATGAACAGTAATTGTCCGAGTGTATTTTTACCATGTAATAAATTACCCAAACAATTGGCATTAAAAATTAAAAATTTTAATTATTAAAAATTAAAAATTTTAATTATTAAAATTTATTATTTTTAATTAATAAAAATAATATTATATCTAATTTCAAATTCTCTTAATTTAAATTTTTTCCAGATTCTTTTATAATTTTTAAATGAAAAATATAGATCATTGGATTACTTTTTTTTTTGCAATCCAATAACCCAGGTTGTGCCACGTGGGCTCAACATTTTTTCACATTTTTAATTTTAAATTTTTTTTTTTCTGAATTAAAAAAAAACAGATTAATGTGGACCGTTGTATCTAAGAAATCCAGCGGCCCACATGAACAAAAGCTAAGTGGGCCTGTAGCGTGAGTCCTTTCACCACTTTTTGCTCGGCTCACTCTCCTTCACCACGTGTCAGACGCAAAAAAAAAAAAAAAAAAAAAAAAAACAACAACAACAACAACGTGGCTAATGTTGGATCCACTCAGTAGGACAGGCGGGCAAGAATGGCCCGACCGCTTGGTCTGGAGGGTTGTGCCCACTGAATAGTTCGATTGATTTAGGTGGGCTGAGCAGTTTTTTTTGGGGTAGGGAGATTGAATCACGCAATTATAAGGGTGATTGGGAGGAGTGGAGTCACTCTAACGCAAAACTGTGTGTAATATATTTCAGATATAAACCTTTTCAGTGATGTTGTTATCTCCTCTCTTAGTATGAGAGACTTATTTTAATCAGATAACACAACTTTAACATTAAACTAATAATATAATTTCATGTGTTTAATTTTTAAACATGTTATTGCGTTGAAATATTGATGAAATGACTTAATTGGTGTAGGTAAGTTTTTCTTCTGCCTCTGCAGTTGACCACCCCAACCTTTCAAAACTATTTATACCACCTCCCTGCTTCTCGTAAAATCATCACTATCGCAGTAGTCAGTACTTTCTTCTCAGCTCTTGACCTTTCCAGCTGTTTAACAATGGCTTCCAAAACCGTGCTCCTTCTCTTCGCAACTGTTCTCCTTTTCACTGCTAGGGTAATTATCTACATCCCTCCAAACCCTAGCATTTTTTTTTCCCTCATTAATTAGTATTATTGATTTTTTTTCAGTTTAATTTCCAATATATTTTGGCCTGTCTAAAGTGATTTGATATCCTTGTTTTTGTAGGCTTCATCACTTGATGATCATGAGGAACTCGCGATTAAGGTACTTTTAATTATATACTCTAAACAAAAATTTCAATTATTGCTAGAAATTTTGGCCTTCAATGTTGCGAAATTCTTTATTTTCAGTCTACTTATGGCAATGCACCATCGCCACAACCTCTGGTCAAGGCACCCAGTCCACCCCTTGCCAAGCCACCGTGTCCACCACTAGCCAAGCCACCATCTCCACTATATACCAAGCCTCCATCTCCTGTCAGCCCCCCAGTGAAGCCACCAACTCCTGACAGTCCCCCAGTGATGCCACCCACTTATCCACCACTTCCCCCGGTCAGGTCCAAATCAGGTAAATATTTTTCTCACTACCATACAGGGAACTAAAATTTGTTTTCTTTACTAATCTAAACCCTTAATTTTGTACTAATTACAAAATGTTTTGCCTAACTGGTTCTATAGTCCCGCGAACTCGTCCAGGAGTTATATTTTAGTTTGTCGACTCTATTTAAGTTCACGTATAACTTAAGAACGTCGCATGTGAACAAGTTCACGGACTAAAACGTAACTCGTGTGCTAGCTATATCGGAATTAAAAACCCTAAATGTACTTGGTTAGTTTGTGATTAAACTTGTTTTATTACACTTTGGTGGTCAGATTGCGTCCCATTGTGTGAGAAGAGGTGCATGCAGCATTCAAGGAAGAGGCCGTGCATGAGAGCTTGCACGGCGTGCTGCGACCGCTGCCGCTGCGTTCCTCCGGGAACATTCAGCAACGAGGAAAAATGCGGCCAGTGCTACACCGATATTGTCATCCATGGCATCAGAACCAAATGCCCTTGAATTTAAGTAAAGCCCTCGTTTATTAATTCTATCATCTTTTTTAGAGTTAATTTAAGGTCGTTTGGCAAGGTGTTTAATAAGGTAATATTTAAGCATTGTATGTAATAAGGAAAAATATTTAAGCATTGTATGTAATAAGGAAGAAAGACAGGGAGGAAAATACATGGTTATTCTTCCTTCGGCCTTTCTAGAGTGTACTGCTTACTGCATGTGTATTGAATGGGATAATTATTAATTAGTACTACTATAGTATGTATTCAATTTCAACTATCCCATGGCAGATTCACACTGGGGCTTACGGGTCCAAGGATTATTCGCAGAAAATATACTTGTGAAAGTTTTTCGATAATTATTCGACTGTTTTGTGCGGGTTTCTTTACACTTATAAAATATTTAGTGTAATACCTGTTAGGCATATCTCGTCAGGTTATAAGGACAATACTCAACAAATTTTCTTCATATTGCTCATAAGTGTCTGACAAATGTCTCAGTGAATAAACTACACTCGAAAAAAATCTCTTGATCTCACTCATCAAGTGTTCAACAAATGCCTCAGTGAGTTAACTGAAATTTCTTTTGAGCGCAAATGTTTCATGCTTTGTTTCTATTAAAAAACTTAAGAACTTTTAACACGAATACCAATCAAGATTCAAATCTTGTATTTGCACTAACATATGATATTATATATATTGTAATTTTTTTTTTTGGTCAAACGATAGATTTTGTTAGACTAGAAGAAAAAAGTTCATCAACCGGTAGATTACAATTCACCACGGACATGGTCCTCGTTAGTAATCTAGATGTAATAAAAAATGTTGATTTCTACCACGGGCTAACACCACATGCTATGGCCGTTGTGGATTATACATTAACCACAGCCAACGCTTGTTATAAAAAGATTCCAATTTTTTTTTAAATTAAAAAAATATTTAAGATATATATATATATATACACACACACACAAAATTGCACATTTACTACAATATAATAATTTTACACAAAATCACATACTGAAATATTACAAATTGTACACTAAAGCTAACCATAGAACCAATGAGTTATACTGAGAAATAAGAAACTATCCATGAGGTACCAAACAGAACATTGTCACTTGAAGACTTTTCATTTCTTTGAACACCTCCAATGACATGACTTTAGGAGTGAAATATTGCACTTAATGCTTGAGCCTCATCAATTGTTGTCTCTCTATCTGCATGGACATAAGCATCTGCATAGTCTCCAACAGTCCACACATGAAGCCAAAAATTAACCAGTAAAAACTTGTACAGACATACAAAATTAACTCCAACAAGAGCATGTGGTGCAAAATTAGCATTGCATATGCAGAGAATGGAGCAAATGCAGCCAAGAACTTACTTACAATCATCAAGTTTCTAGATATTCTTCTCAACGGCACTACCTCCAAAAGTAGCATTTTATGTACAGGTTCTGGCTCTAAACCTTTCTACGCATGTATTCCTTTGCAATTGAACTCTTGACAAATTATAATACGGAGAGAACCTTAAGAGAAGATAAACACATGATTAGATCATGTACCTACTGAATAGAGCCACTACATATATTTCTGCAAATATGTACTATATAACAAATAATTTATTTTAATTTTTTTATTTTTTAATAAATAACAAATAATTTATTTTTAATTAATTAAAATTTTATTTCAATTAGTGAAGGAGTGGGCCCTACCCTCGTCACATCAGCATTTAACAGAAAAGTTGACGGAGATATGACATTGCAATAAATTCAAAAGATGAGGTGTGACATTGCAATGTTTAAAACTTGAGGTATACAATTGTTATGCAACTCATAGTTGAGGTGGTTTTTTGTAATTTACCCAATTATCTGACATCTTTGTGTTTTGGTTACATGGGAAGAAATCAATCTCTTCCTAGTCCTATATTGTTACACTATTTTTTTCGGCTTGCCTATTTACAACTAGTGATATTTGTTTTCGCTTTGATTAAATGTTTTAAAGTTTTTTGACATTTCATGATGAGTTTGATGTTAAATTGTGACTCAATAATTGTACAGTTTAGGCTATCATGAAATTAATAAAAAATATGGTTGTATAAAAATTAATAAAAATAAAAAAAAAAATTTGGTATATCATGAAATCATGGAGACAAACTCTCCTTACCCAGATTTTGGCCAGTTTCAATTCAAAATAAATAAATAAATATGGCCACAGTAATAAGTTGTGGGCCCCCAATTAAGCGATGGGCAGTTGGACCTATTTTATTGGTTGGATGGGCCCTGCCCTATGTTCAAGCTAGGTCCAAATATTTTGTTTTAATATTCTATTTCGAAACTTGTAACTAACGTCATTTGACTAGGGTTTCATGGCATTGCACGTGATACCATTTGCCGCATGCATGTGCAAGAATACGAGAAACAGTTCCAGTGCAAGAATATATAGTCGTTTTTGTTTGTTTGAAACTTCAATAGTAAAATGTAAAATTATGTTCAAATGTCCACTGTCAATGGCATAAATTTAATTGATCAAAGTCAATTAAAATGATAATTAAAGAAGTCGTATTACTGTCTTTACATGAAATAATAAATCCTTTTGATTAAATATATGGTTGATTGTCAGTTCATTTTTGGAGTTGGTGTTGCTCGTTGTCAAATAGTGTCTTTATGGGTTTATGCGTAGAAGTTTTAATCAAGAATGGAGTTTTTTTCTGGCTTTGGAGTGTCATTTCAATCCTCTGAGTTTGAGTGTGGATGACTTCAAGACTTGGATGCGTTCCTTTGTTTATTCTCGTGCATGTCTCTCTCTCAAATCCACATGTACGATGACAATTAGTTTGACCATGTTGGACTTTTATTTTATGTTAAGGTTTCTTTGGATTGAGGACCTCTTTTTTGTTGTGTGATTTTGGTGTTAGATTTGTCGCCTCTATAGCTTTGTGGCAAATTTTTACCGCTCCACTTAGTTTGGTAGCCGTGTAGGGGTTTAACTTATTTTTTAGTTGTGTAAATTAATCTCCACATTAAGAAATTTGTCACTGAAAAAGGTGTACCCATATGATACCCTTATGTATTTGTTCAGTTCGTACTTAATAAATCGGTGCTTGTCAAAATTTATTTATTTATTTATTTTATTGATAACCTCTTGAATGTTGTCTCGAATAACCTCTTTGATATTTATATCGGTTCTTAGTGTTATAATAAAACCTCTTTGGAATTGTCACCGTTGCAGTCCAGCAAAACACATTGGTACAACTCATCATGCAATATGCTCAAGCAAATATCTGAACCCTCTAGTGTTTGTTTTATCCCCAAAAACAAGAACAAAAACAAGAATTGTATCATCGAAATCAGCTTCACTGAAATTTTCCAGAATCTACATACACACAAGTACACAGAGAAAAATCTATGAAATTGCATGTATAAATAGGTGAGAACCAACCCAGCAAATTGCAAGCCAATTCAGCTTTCCACTGTTCGTCGGTCCAGCTTTCGTGCATCAACATTTTATACAAAAAATGGCTTTCCAGAGCCAAAAGCTTGCAGCTGTTTTCTTCATTTGGGTTACAGTTGCTAGCTTGGTGCTGGCTGTTTCTGCAGAAGTTAGCTCTCCAGCCCCTGCCCCATCTGCAGCACCAAGTGCTCTAACTACAGCATTTCCAGTGTCGATGCTGATTGGTTTTCTAGGGTTCATCATTTATCTCTTTTAAGCCTTTTGGCTTAGGCTAAGTTACCATGTTTGTGTTGCTGTTGCATCTTCTGATGTGCATGCCTAACATGTCATATACGGTTTTCTGTATTGATAATGTGTGTGGCAGCTTTGCTTACGCATTTCATATACGATTTTCCGGTTTTTTGTTGTAATATATATATCCGTATAATTATCTATCAAGTGAATTCCATATATTGAGTTAGTATTGTATAGTACTGGAACACGTTGTGTGGCATAATCAATTCCATTATGTGAATTGGTTATTGATATTAGACTTTAAAGTATAAACTCGTCATCCACTCGTATTATGAATCAGTGAGACGATCCATTATCGTACAATAATTTTGTAGTAGATCGACTGTGCTTCAAAAGATAACGGCAGAGGAGAATAAGGAGGCACTTTCTCTCCTTCAATATAGGGAACCAAAACAAGTTAAAGACAAAGTCTGCAAGTAGCTCGGATGATATTCCTCCCCAAACTTTCCTATTTTTTACTAAGTTAATTGAAAAGCCAACTTGTAAGGAGCTGCCATTCCCTTTAAATTTTAATTTTAGCTAATTACCTTTCAGAGCTTTTATAATTGGCCAATTTTTCTTCTAAACTTTAATTTTAGCCAAATACCCCTTTGAACTTTTATAATTGGCCAATTTCCCCTATGATGCTAGATTTTGAACTTTTATTCATCTTGGTCATGTGCATGGGAATGACAATTGTCTGAGGTAAAAGTGTAATTTTATCGGTATGTGGTCATCATATTTTTCTTCTTCTTCTCTTCCGTTAGTTCACTACTTATACTTTTTCTTTGAATTTTACCCTAATATGGACAACTATAAATCTTCTCCATGGTCTTGCTTTTAGCAACAAGTTGGGGTCGTGAAGCCATTTCATTAGCCTACCTTGTGACTTGACTCACATGACCATCTTGGTTCACCTGTTTTAATTCAAGATCCAAATTCGAATAAGAAAAGTAATTACTTATCTCAACAAATTCATTATTGAAAACTGACCAATTATAAAAGTTCATGGGAGCAATCAACTAAAATGAAAGTTAAGGGGGAAATTTGTCAATTACAAAAGTTCAGAAGAAGAATCGGTTAGAATTAAAGTTCAAGGGGAAGTTGGCCAATTAAAAAAATTTAAAAAAATAATCGGTTAAAATTAAAATTCAAGAAAATTAAACGTCCTTACAAATTTGGAGAGAAATTGGCGAATATCTCGAAACAAAATCATAATAGCACACACTCGGATTATGGGCCTCCGCTCATTCAACAATACCATCTCCCAAGGCCCAAAGGGCCCACAATTCTTCTGAGAAGAGTGAGACTAGGAGAAAGAACTAAAAAAAGGAGCGAAAGAGTTGAACGACGACTGTGACGATCGGGAGGAAAAGCGGCCGTGTAAAAATGGCGGAAGAAAATAACGCGGCGGAAGGAAGCAACGGCAGAGCAAGCACGCGGAGAAGACGACGGACATGGTTGAAGAGGAAAGAGAAATGGTTGGTAGTGCTCGGCGTAGT